TGTATGCATGTATGCATGGATGGATGGATGGATGTATGTATGTATGTATGTATGTATGTATGTATGTATGTGTATGTGTGTATATATATATATATACACGCCAAAACGAAAACAGCAAGGATCGTGGCTCTGAATGGGCATCGTTTTGTGTAGGTTCATATTTGCATGAATGTGACGGCCGCCGTTGAAGTAAGTGTTAGGCAAGTATTTGGCTTACCCGTGTTCATAATATCAAGAAATAGTTTTCGGCATGCCATAACTTTGAACTCCGGGGACTTGGATGCTTGTGCAAGGGATCCCACAGCTACATCTGGATTAATTGAATAGCCTGTTGCTGAGGCCAATGGTCGGATTTGTCCTAAAGCCAGTATTTGGGTTGGTGGTGAAGGAAGTGGGTTGGTGGTGAAGGAAGTATCAAGTAAAGTACGAAGGTTACCAATGTGAACAGCTCATGGGTAACAGTAAGTTTCGCATAAGGTCCATCTTGGAGTCATGTCCAATATCAGGGTTGCCAAAGGAACAGCAATATCCTTACTATCGGGGGCCAATTCGGCTGATGTATGTCACTAGATTAACCTTCAGGCCTTCACGTCGATATGGGAGTTAAGAAGGGAATATATAATGGGGTTCAGTCGACATAGCATTTTAATCCGGATGAACTAAGACGTTGCTCTAGAAGGACTGTGTTATAGACTCTGTTTTGGGCGAACATGAACGAGAAGACTACTGTCACCATTGGGGCCTAATGGCAGGGTTGGTCTTAGGGATACTGCTGTTTAGGAATAGGAGTCAGTCAAAGCCCACGGGCATTCATACGTATTGCTGGGGCTTTGATCTGGGACTACAGTGAAGGCTACCTTGACAGGAAATATCATCTCTCGGAGTATCTGTGTGAAAGGGTCGCCAGAATTCAGAATGAAGGCTTCTGCCGGTTCTGCCGATACACATATGCTGTCCTCTCTGAACTGTAAAACCTAACGTTAAACCTGGATCATACACCAGAAGCTTATAAAGATTAGGAGAATCGGTGGCGCTATCGCGGCACCTCGCAGTAGTTCGGGGGGGATAACTGTCTGTATGTATGTATGTATGTATGTATGTATGTATGTATGTATGTATGAGGTACATGGCGCTGTTGTTATGATAATCCTTCTGCATGTCTGAAAACACCGATCGTCACAATGCGAGCCTCTCTCAACAGTTGATACCCAAGGCCCAAGGCACATAGAGGGAGACGAAGGGAGAGTTTCGCGATGAGCACAGCAGCAGCTCGCCGCTACGGGCATACGCAATGGAGTTGAAGTTCTGGTTGAGGTTGACGCCATCGGTGGGACGGCCTGCAGACTAGGCTGTTGATACAGATGTTCTCCCAAGAACCGCATAAACTCACATTGCAGCCGAGAGTCGTTTCTTCATGCCAGCGCCTGGTTTTAGGCCACGCTCATTGACGGCAGAAAACATGTCCTGCCAGTGCCTGGCGCTCTGAATGTCTCGTATGCCATCGATAGATCCAATGTTCTGTGCGGTGACAACATTCCAGAATAAGACTTGTCCTGAAAGGCACGCTGCGGCACAAAGGTCGTTCCTTGGCGCCAGGTTCAAACCCGCAGCGTTAGAGAATCCACGCGCGTAATTTGGGGGGCCTTTATGATTAGAATAAGCTTTTGGGGGGTTACTCTATATTACAAGTATCTTCGGGGCTATATAAGTTGGGGCACATGATAACCGTTAGAAGTATGCCAACCTCTGCATTACACTGCGCAGCAAAAAGCCAGACCAAGCCTCCCTCGCGGATCGAAGCTCACCGCCACGACGCTGGAAGAGCACTGCAGAGCTTCTGCTGACCCACCCTTCGTTCCAGCATAGAGGTCCCAAACGTTCAGCGTTCCATCCCAGCTTGCACTGACTAGCTGTCCAGGATGGGCGGCGGAGGGGGAGAAGTGCAACGCCTCTACATGCGACGTGTGGCCGGTGAGAACCTCCAAGATGTTCCCTGTCTGGATGGACCACACGTAGACGGCATACTTACCTCCTGTGCTACTAGCTGCCACGATCTCGCCACCAGAATCCACGGCCACACTGGAAAACTGACAGAGGCCATCTGGGCTTGCGAAAGTGCGAAAGTTGCGGTAGCGAAGAAGGTCGAAGGCACGAACAGAGCCATCACGGCTTGCGCTTAGCACCGCATTGCCCTGGGGGGTGAAACAAAGGGCATTGACCGGGGCTGTATGTTCTGCGAAGGTGACGAAGCAAAGCCCACTCTGCGCGTTGAAGAGCTTCACCTTGCCGTCGTAGCCACCCGTAGCCAGGAGCCGACCGCCAATGGCACTGCTTCGATCCTCGGGCCGAGCGTCTGCCGACGCCAGGGCTTTCCCGCGCTTCATGGATACCGAGCCCGGGGAGAAGGCCACAGAGCGGACCCCGTAGTGGTGGCCTTGCTGCTTCAGGACATAGGTCTCTGAGCGCCATTCCCATACCAGCAGCTGCCCTGTGCCTGAGCTACCCACGGCCAGCCAGTCTCCGTTGGCCCCCAGTGCCACTGCATCCAGGGGCTCTTGGCCGAGACTCAGGGTTTGCAACGCCTGAAGCGCTGGCATCTCGAAGAGCATCAAAACACCGGCACTGAAGCCAACAGCCATAAGCTGTGCCTTGCCGTCATAGGCACATCGCATCACCTTGTTACTCACGGGCTGCTGACAATAAGCTTTCGACTCCACAGCCCATGTGCCGGGCTGGCAATACAAGAGCTTCCCTCTGTGCTCCTCATCGTTGAGAACACCCTCTTTGAGCGTGTACTTGGCTGAAACCTGCGAGCCAAAGGGCACCCTGCCCGGCAGCTGCAAGCTCATGCTAGTCTGCTGGACACTCTACATCACAGCCAAGAGACCAGCACACCCTCGCGGGACCTGCACGGCAGAAATCAGACCCGAAATTCCAGCCAGCTCCATGGTGTTGCAAAAGGGTCCAACCATTCAAGAGCTCAGATTAAACACGCAGGACGTGCTTACTTGTTGCTTATGCAAGACTAGGTGTGTGCATCAATGTCTTGCTAATAAAGCATGTTTCAAATCTTAAGAACTTAAGGAGCTCCTTTCAACAACATCCTCCACCGGTCACCATGAGCCGCAAACCCCAGACGGCCCAGAGGTTCCAACCCGAGGGAAGCCCCCGAGGTCGTTATGGCTGCTGTGGGACAGGGCTTAGGTTGCTTATGTTGTTCAGGCGCTCTGGTGATGATGGTAGTCGGAGTTTGGAGGGCACCCGAATGAAAAGAACCGGGGCCCGGAGGTTAAGCATCCCGGGTCCTTGTTACAGTCAGCAATTCGAGACTCCCTCTGAGGGCTCCTGCTTGAGTCAACTCATGGACTGAAATCCTTTCTATGGAAGCACAGCGCAAGATAACAACTAGCACATCAGCTCAGCGACATGCTGAAAATATGCTGCATGTCATTGGAGAAGAAAGCCGCTCTGACCTTAGCAACAGAACCACGACTTATCATGGCAGCAAGCATGAACCTACAACTTGACCCCGCTCAGACTGAGGAAAAGGAGGATGAGCAGTGAGTGGCGGCTGCAACACAAGGGTGGGATTCCTCCATTCTCGGGTCGACATCGGATTCCTAAGCATGAAATCCCAAAGTCGTAAACCACCCTCTGCACTGTTGAGCTCGGACACCGGGCTTCGGTGTTCCTGAGTGTCACGATGGCACTTGCACTTTAGGCGCTCTTTTGCCTCGCGCTTGACTTGGCGGGGTGTAAGATTTAAAATGGTTTGACGTAGAACACGAGCTTGAGCACCTTGCGTTCTTGATCTGTACTATTATAGTGGACATTCGTGGTTACGCATCCGAATACATGTCTGAACCCTGCACCCTTTGTCTGAAAAGACTTCCTGGGTAGTGCCAAGTATTAATATCAGCAATATAATTTTAATAAGAATAGTACTAAGATTAGTCATAATAGTAATATTAGTAATAGTGAAAGCAATAATAGTAATTGCCAGGCGGAGCGGCGAGCAGCGCCATAGGTTGAAACCCTTCCTGCCGGCGTGCGGCTGACAGCCGCACGGTACCGTCCTCAAGAGAGGCTGGAATCTCGAGAATCGGGGCACATTGCAACAGAAACCCGTAGCATCAATATTTGTTGCATCGGTCTTTCTCAGAGAGCCGGAGCTTTATGCTGGAACCGGCTGGCTCCCCATACACGACTTCCGAACCGCGAAGCCAAAATCCAAGGGTCCTTCGAACAGGAGGCGAAGAAGTGGGAGTCGGAGCTCCAGGACAAGTCAACCACATCATCGTGGTGCCCGGCGGAGACACGCTCTTTCACAAATTGCCAACCAAGCTCCACCGTCGGAGTCCTCAGAGAAAGCACGCTCTGGCCTTAATAGGTTTGGTGATGACTCCTTGGCTCAGAATCCCAAAGAAATCCAACGCGCTGGCACGAAGCTTGGTTTGCTGAAACCTTTCTGCAACCTGGCAGGCCCTCTTCTTATGGAACTTGCATGCATACCCTTAACCCGGAAAGCGGCCGAACGTGGTCTGAATTTAGGGTTTTCTTGCTTTGCTGTGTCTTGAAAGCCTTGAGGCAGTTGAAAGCACGCAGGGACATTGACAAACCATAGCCGATAGTTGCAAAACACTTGATTTCGACTCTCACACTCGCACCAGGCAGGCAAGGTTGCACATAGTGATTTAGGGATCCATTGTCGAGTGCGCACTGCTGGTTCATTCACTGTCCCTCTCACTCCGCGTCTTCTAGAGCCCCTCACGTCACCAACCCTTCTGCACCCCAAACGCCCGGTGCACCTCCAGAGCTGGATTTTCCGCCCATGGCTTACGATGAGCCTGAGGTACACATTTGCAGCATCGAAGGAACTGGGGCTTCGAAGCCGCTAGGATGACAGATGCGCTTTTCCGTTTGAGGATCATGGATGTGAGAACACAGGGGGGGGGCTCATTACTCCTTTCTCTCCTTTTTCGGCATCTGCCGCAGACGGAGGGTCTATCAAACGAAATCAAGCAGTTCACCCACAGAAATGTGAGTTGCCTCCAAAACCAGTCAAGCAAGCCAATGCCCTTCCACACTTCATGCGGCGAGGGAGCCACCGGGCATCTGGACTCCACTTGGCACTTTGCACGCGGGCCTTGAAATTGATCCTCGTTAGGATACTGCACCGAACGAAGTTGATCAGCAAGGCCTCGGAACTGTAAAAGCTCAAACTGTACTGATGAATGCCAAGCAAGATCGGTTCCTGAGTAGCATATTGCAGAGTATCACACTAAATGTGTGAACACACGACACTTTGGACAACGGCAGCTTCAATACTCCAAGTCACTAGTATTGCAGGCAGCAGCTAAGGTAGCTTGTAGCTCCTACATCCTTCTAGGCTCCCCCTGCTACCGTCCCTGCACTCTCTTCTTCTTCCACACGGCAGAGCAGCCATTTCAACTCCACCGCGCGCAAAAGTGTGCGAATTTAAGTCGTGCGCACAGAAGTCGTCTGGCTGTCGCGGTCTTTCGACTCTGCTCGGACTTCCGGAGTGAACAAGGTCGTTGATTCGAAGATTTGCAAGAGTTCGATCCTGGCATTCCCGTCATCAACGCCCTGAGTCCCTCAATTCTGCCGCCGAAATCTTTCGGAAAACGATGCCGAACGAGTGGCATGGCCGTGTAGGTCGACGGAAAGGAGGAGTCGGGCATCCTGGCAGCTTTCTCCGTGGCGTCCGGTGAGAGTGATAATGATGACGACGATGATGATGATGGCGGCGATGATGATGATGATGATGATGCTGCTGCTTCTGTTTGCTGTTTCTACCATCTATGTCTAGTTTCAGGCAACAGCATCGTGTGAGCCTTGATGTTGCACTGCTGTTGCACTGCTAGCCGATTTCTGTCTGTTGACTTTTTGGCAAAACGTCAAAAGTTTGTCCGGAGACTCCCATCGTAGCGGTAAGGCTTGCCTGGCAAGCATCCCAAGGATTATGGCTTGCTGGCCAACGAGATGCGAAGTTCTCCGCAGCGGTGTTCTACTTTGAGGGTCTGGAACTCAAGCGATGCAGTCCGAGGGTCTACAAACCAGCCAAGAAGCAGACTGCATTGAGCATGTTCTGCCCCTGCCGCCTCAAAAAACCCTGCATTTTTTTATTTATACAAGCACCTGTATACAAACCCTCCTTAGAAACACCTTTCTAGGAAGCATGAAGCGAACCCAGGTCTTCCTCTCGGACACGAGCTTTCCAAGGGCCTCCGTCAGTGCCAGCACCGCGACGTCCTCCCGATTCTCGGGCGCCAGAGTCACCGATCGACCCTTCGGCTAGTGGGCTTCTGTCAGCACTCACAACTGGGACAAGCCGGGCGAGGCTAGCGGGTACGGGTTTTCCTTGTAGGAGATTAGGATTGGAGTGGGCACTCTTAGAGTCAGAGCCAGCGAAGTTTCGACAATCACCGTCGCACAAGGCAGGCACGGCTTCACAACGACAGGTCCAACTACACCAGCAAAGGCAGAACAGGGAATCAGTCTGAGCCCGAACACAGTCAGGAAAGATTTCATACTCTTCTCTCCTCACACTGAGGATCATCCTCACCAAATGGCACGGAGCTACAATGGCATTAAAGTAAAATGCTATAAACCGAAGAGCACGAAAAGCTCACGGCTCAGGGCGCTGTAACTTAAATCCTGAACCCAAACTTCCGAAAGGGATCCTATCCTCCAAACCTTACAGTACCTCGACATGATACCAAGAACGACCAGCTGAAGAGCGAAACTCTTGCACTCCAGCTGGCCCCACCTGCTCCTATGACAAAAATCCTGAAGGAACCCTCCAGCCCCCTCTGCGCTCACTTCTGAAGAGCAGTTCCGCACCGAGGGTCTCCTAAAGCGACCCAGCGCCGCTACGGTTTAGGGCTTAGGGTGTACAGGTAAAGGCAAGAGGTTCTTTTTGCAATGCTCTTCAGTCTCGTCTTTGAATCTGATGACGACAAAGTTAGCTGAGCAACAGCACCTGGCAAGCAGCCCGGAAGCCGAAGCTTGCGGTGCGCAACATGACAGAAGCATTTGCGTTGGTGAATGTATCACATGGGCAGTTCTCTAAATTAAGGGTCCCTTTTTGGGTCCCCAATTTTGTACGGCACCCTTCCAAAAAGGGCCCTGGAATGGACCCTACTTCCTAATTTAAAGAACTACCCACATGTATAGGAGTTGTTCCAGCTTTGGGTTCCCTGCAGGGTATCTTCACAGCTAAGCGGCGATATGACACGGGCACGAAAAAGAGATTTCAGTTCCGAACACTCCTCTCATGAGCCTCTCATGCAAACTTTGGTTTAAGGGGCTAGAATGCTAGCCTTGGTCGTGAAAGGTTCTCGTCAGGAGTCCTGCACCAGATCCACGCCGCTGATGCGATTTCCAACGGGGCTGAGCAAGACATTTCCGTCAGGAGCGAACCTCAGGTGCCCCGACTTCAAGCACAGCGGCCTTTCAAAGTAAATAGCTGACTCAAGACAGGTCACACCTGGCCTTCTAAGCACATGGGGCCCAATCATGGCGCCAACATCTCTCAACCGCGAGCTTAGCATATCTGACAGTTACGGGCCCCCCTAGCGCAAAACTAGGCCTTCGTGGGCCTTTGAAGTAGGAGCCTCCTCCAGACTTCTCCCCAGTCAAATACTGCGAAGTGGCCATTAAATCTGCACATGGGGTTCTTCAGAAGAGGCTCTGGGTCAAAGTGCATGCAGAGGGCACGTCAGGTTTATTTTCGCCGAAGCACGCAGCGCAAACTCGCGCCAACATAACTCTGTTCGACTGTCTTTTGTGTGCTGCCGGAGGCAGTCGAAGAAGCCCATTTATGCCTTGCACCCTGAAAACACAAGCCAGGCAAAGGGCTGGATTCCTCCGCCCTTGTAGGTCGTGCCCAGAAGATTGGCGAAGCGATAGGAGCTCATGCTAGGATGCCATGGCGACAGGGAGTTTGTCGGAAGTGAGTGTCCTGTTGAAGCACCGTGGTCATTGCAAATCCCTGCTCAAGTGCCTCACAGCCGAAGTTAGAACAACCCCAAACACACGCACGCTCTATGATTGGATGAGTAGTCGGGTTCCAGATCCTGCACTACACCACCCGCAATCCAGCCTGAAAGCAGCCGGAATGAAATTGCAAATGTGGGCGCAGCATGAGCGTTCATGAGGCGTGTTGGGTTGTGGCACCAACGCAATGATGGGACCACAGGAGCCTGCGCATACCTGTGCCGTTTCCAAGGAAGAGCCGTCTTTACTTCAGCCTACAGGGTTTATGGCATAGCTTTGGGCATAGGTGCGTGATCTGAGCAGAGAACGTGCAATGTGGTGTTTCGTCGCTCAGGAAAACAAAAAGTAGCGCTTTTACTCTGAAGAGGCTCGGCCCATCGTCCCAGGACTGGCCTGCCACTCGTGAGCTGTGGCAACGGCATAGGCTGCTTTAAGCAGTCTGTGCCATCTAACCTCACAGCTCGAACATGAATTGCAAGCGGCATTCGAATCGCTCGATTCAGGCCTGACGTACTCCTTGGCAGAGTTTACATGCAATGTGGGGACGTGCATGCGCCAATATGTGGATGAGGGAGTGGATAAACAGGCCAAGCACAGGTATAAATACCTCTTGAAAATGTCGAGCCCTGGCAGCCCTGCCAGCCCCGAAAACCCTTTCCGCGTTGTCTCCCTCGGACTTGGGCTGCCAGCTGTTTGATGGATGCGCAGGTCGACACTGAGCGCGACAGCCTGGCGGAACCCTGAATAAGCAGGATTTGGGGGCGCACTGGCTTGTAGTTTAAGTGCCCCAGCAGTGTATGGGTACCTCTACAAGACCAGAACGGGAAATCAGCATAGTATCCACTAGGAGCCACGAAGTCGGGCTGGCAACAGAATAAAACTTGCAGCACCTGTGATTATTCATGCCAGTGACGCAGGGGTTTGCCAAGTGCCATGTTCCGCGTTGCCCCCACCATCCATGGCTGCAAAAGCACATCATGTTCACAATGGCTTGGAGATTTTCTTGCCTGCCGTTGAGGGCTCCTTAAGCATGCAGCCGTGAAACTATCTGTATTACATAGCTATGTACATATAATTATGCCTTTTTCCTGTTCGATTCAATGCACAACCGACAGCATTGGGTAAGAGAGAACCACGAAGCGACCATTCACGAAAAAAGCAGCCAGAGTTCTTTTGTTTTTGGTGCATTTCGCATGGCTATTACGAGACCAACCCTGCTACCCAGAGTTCGCTTGCTTGTGCGAGTTTGGGTGTTTTGAATTTGAAAAGGCTGGGGTACTGACTCTCGCAACTCGCTTGGGGGTTTAAGGAGGAGGTTTGGGGTGTTTTTGGGGGCTCACGATTCCTGGGCAGGTAGCGTTGGACAAGGTCTGGGTTTGTACCAATCGTCGGCACAGTCGAGCGGTATACCGTAATGAAGTGGCAGCACACTACATCAACTATCTGAGCCCGAACCCGTTTGCTTTTGCAGCCATCGACTCCCGAAAGGCAATAAACTACTGAAACCACAGCCCTAAGTTAGACAGGTAGACATGCATATGTTGTCATAAGAGATGTGCCAAAACCTGTCGGTCGTTCCTCCTGCGTTGCACAACATGTACGGTCGCCGAACACCCGAGTAACATTTAACAGTTTAACACCAAGTCACGAAGAGTCACGCAACAGCCTGACGTGCCCCGGCACGTATAGAGATACGGATGCGCAAAGATAGAGATCCCGACCTAAGGCGTACCGACCATGACCCCTTCTCCCCTACGAGGCTCTATAGTCCCAGCAGCCCCAGACCCTTAATTACTCTGTGATCTATACCCCGAACCTTACATCATTTTGCATCATCCTAAATTTGTAAAGCCGGAGGGCTCACCTGCTTGTCCGATGGCAGCTGCGCCACACGCGCAGCCAAGGCCATGGCCAAAGACTGCAGCTTGGCGTGGGGGGGGGGGGGGGGGGGCGTACTGGGGTTTTGTTGAAGGGGCTCTTTGGCTTCGAGACTTCTTGTTTCATCCTTGTAGCAGCAAAGCAAATGCTCCAAGTGTGTGGGCAACCCGGCCCGGGAGACTCACTTGGGGATCGGCTCTCAGAGGCTGTATGTTGCACACCTTCAAACCCAAGCCCACAAAAGGCAGGAAACCCTAAACCCTAAGGAAACTCCTTGCCTTGACTGAGCTCTTCTCAGTCACTGTCAGCTCGGAGTGCAAGTGTCGCTGCTCCGGCAACGGCCACTTGGCAGAGGGCAGCCTCAGCAGAGGCCGCGGCGTAATCTTCATATGAGTGACGACCTTACACATATGGGAAGTCAGGCATTAGCACCCAATAATTAACTCCAGCGCTCCATGCCGGATGGGGAAGTTGTTGCATTTGCAGTCACAACTTCGATACCTGAAAAGTGGCGCTTGCTTGCAAATAATTCAGATTCGCGCCCAGGAAGTGCAGAAAAGTCTTTCATAAGCTAAAGTAACTGACAATTGCAAAATATACTTAGCATCACTATGATTACTCCCAGTGGCCATGCCCAACCATTAGGAAAAAAGCAGTTTCGATTGCAGGCATCCGAAAATCGTGCTTCTGGGCGGCCAGCAGTGAAACCATGAAGACCTTTGCCACGTCGTTATGACCTCTTCAATAAACTGTGGTATGCTTGCATAGATGGTTGACAGTACACTGACCTGGGGGGCTGTTGGGATGCAGCGATGCCTTCGACACTTTGATTATTTTGCTTACATTGCTTACATGTTATTGCAGTTCAACTGTTTCCCCATCGCTCCCGCATCTCCAACCCCCACCTCGCCAAATGTGCCGAAGCCTCACAGACTCACAAACACAAGCCAGCCCGCAAGATACAACTCACACAGGCGCCTCAAAGCAAAGAGCCATCGCAACCCTAAAACCTGCTCCATCCGGAAGGACCTCAACTAAACCATCATGAAGCATGATAAACCCTAAAAACGCAAACACAAATTCAAAGCTATTGCCGGCCTTCTCCTCTGGTTTCAGCGCTGCGTCCAGTCAGGGGCCTCAGAGTAAAGCTATCCGAAAGGCCCGAGTAAGGACCAGAAGTCCAAACAAGGGTCGGCTCTGTTCGAATCAAGTTCCGAGATTAGGATCGCTACTTGTAGCACATTTTCCAGGGCTTCCGACTGCCAAAAGCCTTGCTTTAGGTGGCCTTAAAAACCCAAATGTCTTATTGTAGCCTCTCCGTTTGGGAGAGGTAGTCGGACTGCTTTCGGCCATGCAGGAAATCACAGATGGGCCTCACGAAGAGGCCACGAGTCCCACGACCCGCGGTCCCAAGCGGATAGGCGCTTCTAAGGCTTCAAGGCTTCGCGGTTGAGAGTTTCGGCGCTCAGGCTAGGTCACAGGGTTGAACTTCACGTTGGGGTGTGTTAGCGCAGCGTCTTCCACCGAGGGCGTTGCTCCGGCTCTCCATACTCCAGACTGAACAGGGCAGCTTGCCTCGCTCGCGCTCCGGCTACAAATCCAAAGGCTGTGGGTTTTGGCACTCTAAGGGTTCTGGGCACCTGCCCGCCTTCTCTGCCGGAGCTGCGCCAGAATCTGAAGCGTCGTCGCAAGCCCAGCCTGCTTGATTCGATGGAAGCTGAAGCTGACGTGCACATGCCAAACCATGAACCTAATCATCCTTTTCTTCAGACCCTACAGTCCTGTAAACCCCAAAAGCCATCAAGCCCACAGGCACAGTAGCCCAAGCAAGCCTTCTGAAGCGCATACCTACCGACCTGGCCCACCGTCCGGAGCGTGGCGGCTTGAAGAAAGCCCTTCCTGGCGCTGCTTTGGGCTTGGGGCTCCGGCTTGCGGATCCAGCGTTCGGGCTTTTTCAAGCAGCCAGCAGCTCTTGATTACTTAACGGGTCGTTACTACGGTGAACTCCTGCTACGTAAACCCGAGGAAGTCTATGCTTGACCTCCACGTCGAACATGGGGCTTTACGATTTTGGGTGCTGGCCTCCCTCCGGCGCTCATTACCAACTTGGCATGTTTTAGACCATGCCCACGACTAACTCTCACACTCGCACACGGCTGGCAGCTTCACGGGCAGCATGGATTCCGCTGTGGTACTAGACATGGATCGGGGGTCGCGTGCTGGGCCCTGGGCCCCCCGACGTCACCGGACCTGAAAGCTTGGGACGAAAGCTTGGCATTTTCTTCTCATAACCTTTAATGGGACATCTCTCTATGGCAGATGAGATGAAACTTGGTCTTCTTGCTCCATCAAAATCTAGCACAGGGATCCCGGAGGACTGGAGGTGGGGGGAGGACGAGCCATCGTGCTTCTTTCCGGCTCGTGAGGCTGGGTGCACTTTGACAAACAGAGACTGGCGGAGCAAGGGTCTGGTCCACAGGCCGAACACCTTGATCAACTGAGCCATGGGCTAAGCTCTGCCAGGAGGCGCTCCTGGCTATGGGACAAACACCAGGGCTTTCAAACTGCCGAGGCCGCTGGGACTTTGAGTTTGGCTTTGGCTTAAGTTTGGCTTCGTGCTTTCGAAGAAGGCTCTGGTTTGGCGTAGGAACAGGGCCCAAGGCTTTATAGCCTCGTTCAGAGTTTCGACAATCATCCTCGCAGCAGGCAGGCAAGGCTTCCGGTGTTTCGACTCTCACTCTCGCTGCAGTTTAGGGCGTTTGGCAATGGCATTTAGGGTCTTCGGGCTTGAAGTTTTGGAGTTTATGGCTGGTCGGTTTGAGGTTTCGGGCTCTATGCTGAAGGGTACCTACAGTACCCTTACACATCTTACACAAGGTTTGCGGTTTAGTTCAGGGCCAAGGGCTTTGAACTTTGGCTGATGCTTGATAGTTCGCAGGGTACAGCGTTACAAAGGTCAAGCTTGTGGGCCTACGGTGCTGTCTTCTGACAGTCAAGGCCTTTGAAGTTGAGTGGTTTTCGTCGTCCAAGCCCCCAAAAGCCCAAGCTCCAACCCCTCAACCATGAAACAAACACTACGGTCCTACGTCCAAACCCGCAGAGAATTTTAAGTACGATGTTACCACCCGGAATCGTGCCAGAACCAGCCGGCGCGATGGAGCCATCGACGCGCAGCACAGGGCCCGCAACAGTAGCGAACTGCCTCAACCACAGGGCTTCTCGGTGGTTCCAAGGCGTATGATGTTTTTGGTCGTAGCCTACCATACATGTTTCGAAGCTACATGCTGCGCTATATCACGGTGGGCTAGAGACAATCAACCCCCGTCGGAGAGGCTCGCGTCCTGTGTGTTTATGGCAGTAATTAAACAGCAGCCCAAAATCCGGGCACCTCCATGATCGGCAAGTTGGACTGGATTGTCATCTGACTCCGCATGTCGGAAAAACAGCCCTACTTCGCACATTGCACCGTGGAAACAACAGTGGGTTCTATCCAAACTGTAACGTACAGAATGCCGGCAATCGTGGTACTAGCAACAATGACTCATGACACTCACCGCCATGGAGACAGAACAAAACAGTAACAACAGTAAGAAGAACAGTAGTAACAAACTGTGGAACAATGACAATTCAACGGGCCAGCTGGCAGTCTATCACTATGAAAAATACAAAGGCACTACTCAACACAGAAACCAAATGACCTCTGTTTAAGTCTCAATTTGGGTACATGTTTACATGTACAGGGTTCAAGTTTGACTACATAGTTACATCTTTTCTTAGGGCTATGTCATGTATGTGTTAATGGAAACCCTTCATATCGAGGCGAGCTGAACTTCAACTAAGAAACCGAGCTACCTGCCCAGGCCCCCAGCATCATGAGCATGCTGCCTGCTCAGCTTCCGCCCAAACTCCGAGAGTTCATATGCACCAGCTGGTAACACGAGGATCCTCCACATACCGAGAGCCCGGACCTTTCAGTTGTGATTGCTGGCCCCCTTTGAAGACGTAGCATTCAGCGTTTCGGCGACTCTCGGACAAGCTAGGCGAGCTAAGCGAGGTTCGAGAAATTCTTCCTCACTGCCTTAGGCCACGAGTGCACTTACACTCGTCAAGAGCCTCTCGTAATTACCCGACACGTAACAACAGCAATCGACCATCCTGTAACCCAAAGCACGGCCCTTGGACAATGGAGCATCGCCTCGTGCGCGCTGCTCTTGCGGTTCTGGAGCTCGTCAGCCGTGGACTCCTCCAGGGCTCGACCCGGGCATCGCGCATGGACTGCATGCACCCGCGGGTTCTGTCCTCCCCATGCCGGTACCGAGAATGAAGGGGTGCCAGGCCCTCGCTCTCATTTTTTGGAAGAGCCGGCTGTTTCTCCAAAACCTACTGCGCCATGGAGCCGGCCGAGGCCATGGCGCACAAGGCTACTTGGCCACTCTTAGACTCCCACATGCGAGGCAGGCAAAATCACGGCAAGTTCGGATGTTACTGCAGCATCACCCAGTAGGTAGAACATGCATTTGTGTCCAGCGATGAGATGAGACTATCAATGCACTGGGAGAGCGTTGCTGAATGGTTCCGTAGCTCTTAAAGACATGGAAGGGCATACCCCATTCCAAACAGAACTACCTCACCATGAAGCTACCTCTTCTCAGGTCCAAACGACATGTCGGGGTGGGCGACTAAAATATTGTCCCGTGCCGGTGCACAACCTTTGCAAAGCTCTGCAGGCATGGCTGACTGGGAAGCTTTGCGATGAAGGCTGTGTGCTGGACCTCCATCTTATCACATGCCACGTAACTCGCTCCCATTTTACTACCCACCCCCAAACATTGGACATTCGCGGGCAAGAATGTTTTCGGTCCTGTGAATGAAGGAGACCATGACAGCACCACGTAGGAATTAGTAGATGCCAGCTGCTAAGTGTTGTCGGCGCAGGGCTCCGGATTCAGAGCCTCGCGTACATCCTGTGGCACCAGCAACCCCCGAACAAAGACCCCCGCAGCCACTTTGTATGCCTCTTGAGTTCTGGTGTGAAAACTTTAGCCGCCAGTTGAACACTCAAGCGCAATAGAACCGGCAGCAGGCAGCAAAGTCCTTGACCCAGAAACACCAAGCACGAACGATCTTTTTCACACCTGGGCTATGCGCAGACGATCTAACTAGACCCGAACACAAACGATCTAAGCCCGGAAAGGTGGATGCAAGCTTTTAACCCCTCAAGTGGCGCGACACGGCAATAGTGCCTGCACGGGCACTGCAGGAGTAGCATATCTGCAGATGAGAGAAGCAGAGGGTGATCAAGAGACATGAGAAAGAAAGAGAGAGAGAGAGAGAGAGACCCCTATAAGCTCCCCAGCCCCTAAGCTAGCCTAAGCGTGCCTTCCTAAACCCCTATAAGCTCTTAAGCCCCTAAGCGGCCCTTGGGCCCGCTGCGGGGCAGTGGACTGGATGGAGTCCGGGAGTCTGGGATGCCTGAAGGCAAGGCATACGGCGTGAAGATCTGTGGACGTTTCGGGGTTCCCAGTTCTTTAAGATGCGTAGTAGACGCAGGAAGATGCACAAGAGCGGGCGAAGGCGCATCAGGGCTTGGAGAAGCAAGCTTCGATTTTCTGCATATTCGCCCGACTGTACCAGCAAACGAACGGAAAAGCTTGCTGGGAACTCACAACTACCCTGGTAGGATCTTCATACCGAAACCAACGAATGCAGCTGACTGTCCACGCCCCCATGGAACTACTCAAGTGCCGACGTTTCGTAACTAGTACCAGTACTCCTCAGGGCTTTGGGCACGATAAATGCTGCGGAGTATGGAAAAAGTCACATGCAGGCTTCACCTGCACATAACCTTTCACTCGATGGCTGCTGCTGTCAAAAATTGTTGCTGCCGTAAAATTGTGTTACAGGAGAAGCAAGCTTCAACTTTCCGCATGCTCGCTCGACTGTACCAGCAAAGAAAAGGTCTAACTAGTAGAGCGAAGGTGCTTGCTGAGCACTCACAGATCGGGCTCCCTCTCGGTCTCGGGTTCCCTTTCCGGTTACTCTTCGAGTTCCCTGTAGGCCATCGCGCAAGCCTTTGAAATCCGCCAGGAGAAGCCGGCGAAGACCGTAGCCACGCACAGCCATGACAAGACACCGACCCAGGAGTTGAGCGCCAAGGAAGAAGCAGCGATGCCTGCGAGCATGAGGAAGGCAAACATCACGCCAATCGCCGAGTACCTACACATCTTGCACTTCTGCTCCGACCAGAGCACATACTCGCAGGCCGTGATGGTCAGGAAAACCGCGGAAGGGAACCAAATCATGTCCAAAGCCACCAGAAAAGTCAAGGCATAGGTCAGCCAGCCTTCCCAGGAGGCACCCACAAGCAATAAAGATACCAGGTTCCCTAGCGGCAAAGCTGCAGCAGACGCCAAGCCGACCAAAATGTAGCCGAAGGGGATGATACCCTCGGAGCGCATGAGCGTCAGCACCTCGACGCGGAAGGGCCCGCGCACGTGTGCCGTGAAGGCGTCCAAGCTGCCGTACCAATGCACGATCGCCGCATGGATGCTTTCCTTGTCCCGCTGCTTGCTGCACTGCAATGTCGTGACATCAAACGTGGACAGCTGGAAGATCATCTTCTGCACGCATCGTTGGCACTGCACGATGACGCGGACCATCGCAGCACCGAATGCCAAGCAGACGAAGGAGATTATAGCGAGAAACCCAGCGTTGCGGGACCGGAAACTGCCACGAATGGATGGGTAAGCAATAGCCGCCAACACAACAAAGAGAAACACCTGGCTACAAGCCGCATCGACCAGGAGTGGTACCACGCGGATCTTTCCCGTCGGGTTCATCTTGCGGAATGCCGCAAGCTCGAAGATGCACCAAATCCTCTGTTTGTTATTGTTCTTGTTGTTATTGCTATTGTCATTGTTATTGTTCTTGCTCTTGTTCTTGTTATTGTTATTGCTCTTGTTCTTGTTATCGTTCTTGTTGTTGCTGTTGTGTTGCTGTTGCTGTTGCTGTTGCGTTGCTATTGCTGTTGCTGTTGCCGTTGCCGTTGCCGTTGCCGTTGCGGTTGCGGTTGCGATTGCGGTTGCGGTTGCGATTGCGGTTGCGCGGCTGCGGCTGCGGCTGCGGCTGTGGCTGTTGCTGTTGCTGGTGGTGTTGGTGTTGGTGTTGGTGTTGGTGTTGGTGTTGGTGTTATTGTTGTTGTTGTTGTCGTTGTTGTTGTTGTTGTTGGTTGTTGGTCGTTGTTTGTTGTTCGTTGTTCGTTGTTCGTTGTTCGTTGTTCGTTGTTCGTCGTTCGTTGCTTGTTGTTTGTTGGTTGTTGTTGGTTGTTGTTGGTTGTTGTTGGTTGTTGTTGGTTGTTGTTGTTGTTGTTGTTGGTTGTTGGTTGTTGTTTGTTGTTCGTTGTTCGTTGTTCGTTGTTCGTTGTTCGTCGGTCGTTGTTTGTTGTTTGTTGGTTGTTGTTGGTTGTTGTTGTTGTTGTTGTTTGTTGTTGTTGTTGTTGATGCTGTTGATTGTTTTTTGTTTGTGTTGTTGTTGTTGTTGTCGTCGTCGTCTTACAGTGGGGGGTTTAAGGTTTTTGGTCCGGGGCATAAGATGCACGTGGTTTTGGGATTTGGTTGATTGATTGGCTTGATGGTCACGGCCTAGGACTACCGTAAGGTAGTTGACGTGAAGGGTGGAGGGCAGGATGGTTTAGGGGCTCAGGCTCGCGGTTCCGAATTCTCGGTCTAAGGGCATGACAAGGGGTTCAAGGTATGCGGCTTCGGGTACTAGGCTTGCACGACGAGGTCCTCGTCAGGTAGGGCTCGCTCCAAAGAACCCGCAGTTCAGCTGTGGCGGCCAGGAAGTTGCCGATGTTGTCGATCCCCTCTTGCATGAGCCGCTCGTCGGTCTGGCTGATAGACACGAAGTCCAGGAAGCACCGATCCGAACGGCTGGGCAAGTAAGGAAACGCAAGGAGGCCCAACATCGCGCCGGCAGCGCAGCAGATGAGGACCCAATAGGCATCTGGAACCTCAGGTTCAGAATCCAAAACCATCCGCGTGCTTCTGAACTGAGGCAAAATGCCTGTCAAACAGAGGGGAAAGGATATAGCTGCACCGATGAGCCATCCGAGTAGAAGAGTCGGCCAGCCGAATCGGATAAGTAACGACAAGGCTTTCAACCGCCCATCTGTTAGCCAGGTATGGGACAGGAACACATCGAAGGCATCTGTCGGGCTGGAGGCATCGTAAAGGCGTGCCCGCTTCTCCAAGCTCAAAGCTGGAGGTCGCGAGCGCCAAATCCTGGCAGCTCTTCGCAAGGACTTCCGCATCGAGATGGCTCGCATCAGCTCTTCACGACTGCTCTGCTGGGTCAGATCCGAGCGATAAACGCAGATCTCTGGTGGCGACCACACGCCTTCCTCTGCCGAAGTACTTTCGGCATCACCGGCATCTTCGTAAGCTCGCATACTACCTACTTCTTCTGTCTGAGCTGCAGCATCAGGCGCATCATCCACCACCCTCATGCTCGCCACAAACTGCTGCTCATGGGGCTCTGGCTCTCCGCAAGCGGAACAGCAGTTACTCAAGGCGGGACCGATCTCCGACATGGAGCCAGATGGCCTGCTCGTTGCCTTCGGCTCTTCGCCGCACCAAGCCAGGCTCTTCGCTGACCCTAAATCAAAATGTGCGTTTTGAGCCCGAACGATGGCCCGAAGCAATCTCAAACGTGACCCCCCAGGCCTACCCGGCCCACCGGGCTGCCCCCCTCCCCCAAACTCAAACCTGTCACCTGGACTCAAAAGGGTCATTTTCTCGACTTCAATGCACATGCTCGGCCAGCATGAAGCAACTCGGCTTTGCGGGTAATTCGGGTGGCCGTTCTCTCGCAGCTTCGTCATGGAGCGTTACTAGCAGAGGAGTCTGCATGGTGCCTCTGTCGCCTGCGAAACCGAGCTACATGCCCAGGCCCCCCATCATGAGCATGCTGCATGCTCAGCTGAAGCCCAAACTTCGAGAGTTCATATGCACCAGCTGGTAACACGAGGATCCTCCGCATACCGAGAGCCCGGACCTTTCAGTTGTGATTGCTGGCCCCCTTTGAAGACGTAGCATTCAACGTTTCGGCGACTCTCGGACAAGCTAGGCGAGCTAAGCGAAGTTCGAGAAATTCTTCGTCACTGCCTTAGGCCACGAGTGCACTTACACTCGTCAAGAGCCTCTCGTAATTACCCGACACGTAACAACAGCAATCGACCATCCTGTAACCCAAAGCACGGCCCTTGGACCATGGAGCATCGCCTCGCGCGCGCTGCTCTTGCGGTTCTGGAGCTCGTCAGCCGTGGACTCCTCCAGGGCTCCGGGCATCGCGCACGCCCTCGCTCTCATTTTTTGGAAGAGCCGGCTGTTTCTCCAAAAACCTACTGCGCCATCGAGCCGGCCGAGGCCATGGCGCGCAAGGCTACTTGGCCACTCTTAGACTCCCACATGCGAGGCAGGCAAAATCACGGCAAGTTCGGATGTTGCTGCAGCATCATCCTGTAGGTAGAACATGCATTTGTGTCCAGCCATGAGATGAGACTATCAATGCACTGGGAGTGCGTTGCTGAATGGTTCCGTAGCTCTTAGAGATATGGCAGGGCATACCCCATTCCAAACAGAACTACCTCACCATGAAGCTACCTCTTCTCAGGTCCAAACGACATGTCGGGGTGGGCGACTAAAATATTGTCCCGTGCCGGTGCACAACCTTTGCAAAGCTCTGCAGGCATGGCTGACTGGGAAGCTTTGCGACGAAGGCTGTGTGCTGGACCTCCATCTTATCACATGCCACGTAACTCAGTCCCATTTTACTACCCACCCCCAAACATTGGACATTCGCGGGCAAGAATGTTTTCGGTCCTGTGAATGAAGCAGACCATGACAGCATCACGTAAGAATTAGTAGATGCCAGCTGCCAAGTGTTGTCGGCGCAGCGCTCCGGATTCAGAGCCTCGCGTACATCCTGTGGCACCAGCAACCCCCGAACAAAGACGCCCGCAGCCACTTTGTATGCCTCTTGAGTTCTGGTGTAAAAACTTTAGTCGCCAGTTGAACTCTCAAGCACAATAGAACCGGCAGCAGGCAGCAAAGTCCTTGACCCAGAAACACCAAGCACGAACGATCTTTTTCACACCTGGGCTATGCGCAGACGATCTAATTAGACCCGAACACAAACGATCTAAGCCCGGATAGGTGGATGCAAGCTTTTAACCCCTCAAGTTGCGCGGCACGGCAGGCAATAGTGCCTGCACGGGCACTGCAGGAGTAGCGTATCTGCAGATGAGAGAAGCAGATGGTGATCAAGAGACATGAGAAAGAAAGAGAGAGAGAGAGAGAGAGAGAGAGAGAGCGAGAGCGAGAGAGCGAGAGTGGTGCGGGCGTTTCCGTGCATGTCACTGCATCATATCGGGTTTTGTAGCTGTATCAAACCCAGAGTCTGCGGACACATATCTACACACACAGAGACAGAAAACAGCAACCTAAACCCCTGTAAGCTCCTCAGCCCCTAAGCTAGCCTAAGCGTGCCTTCCTAAACCCCTTATAAAGCGGCCCTTCCTAAACCCCTATAGAAGCTCTGGGCCCGCTGCGGGGCCGTGGACTGGATGGAGTCCGGGAGTCTGGGATACCTGAAGGCAAGGCATAAGGCGTGAAGATTTGTGGATGTTTCGGGGTTGCCAGTTTCTTTAAGATGCGTAGTAGACGCAGGAAGATGCACAAGAGCGGGCGAAGGCGCATCAGGGCTTGGAGAAGCAAGCTTCGATTTTCCGCATGCTCGCTCGACTGTACCAGCAAACGAACCCAAGAGCTTGCTGGGCACTCAAAACTACTTTGGTAGGATCTTCATACCGACGGGAACGAATGCAGCTGACCGTTCACGCCCCCATGGAACTAGAGTACTAGTACTCCTCAGGGCTTTGGAAACGATCAATGCTGCGCAGTATGACAAAAGTCACATACAGGCTTCACCTGCACATAACCTTTCACTCGATGGCTGCTATTATAAAAAAACTATTGCTGCTAAAAATTTTACAGGAGAAGCAAGCTTCACCATAGCCGCATGCTCGCTCGACTGTACCAGCAAAGAAAAGGCCTAATTAGTGGAACGAAGGGGCTTGCTGAGCGCTCACAGATCGGGCTCCCTCTCGGTCTCAGGTTCCCATTCCGGTTACTCTTCGAGTTCCCTGTAGGCCATGGCGCAAGCCTTTGAAATCCGCCAGGAGAAGCCGGCGAAGAACGTAGCCACGCACAGCCATGACAAGACACCGACCCAGGAGCTGAGCGCCCAGGAAGAAGCAGCGATGCCTGCGAGCATGAGGAAGGCAAACGTCACGCCAATCGCCGAGTACCTACACATCTTGCACTTCGACTCCGACCAGAGCACATACTCGCAGGCCGTGATGGTCAGGAAAACCGTGGAAGGGAACCAAAGCATGTCCAAAGCCACCAGAAAACTCAAGGCATAGGTCAGCCAGCTTTCCCAGGAGGCACCCACCAGCAATAAAGATACCAGGTTCCCCAGCGGCAAAGCAGCAGCAGACGCCAAGCAGACCAAAATGTAGCCGAAGGGGATGATACCCTCGGATCGCATGAGCGTCAGCACCTCGACGCGGAAGGGCCCGCGCACGTGTGCCGTGAAGGCGTCCAAGCTGCCGTACCAATGCACGATCGCCGCATGGATGCTTTCCTTGTCCCGCTGCTTGCTGCACTGCAATGTCGTGACATCAAACGTGGACAGCTGGAAGATCATCTTCTGCACGCATCGTTGGCACTGCACGATGACGCGGACCATCGCAGCACCGAAGGCCAAGCAAACGAAGGAGATTATATCGAGAAACCCAGCGTTGCGGGACCGGAAACTGCCACGAATGGATGGGTAAACAATAGCAACTAACAAAGCAAAGAAAAACACCTGGCTACAAGCCGCATCGACCAGGAGTGGTACCACGCGGATCTTTCCCGTCGGGTTCATCTTGCGGAATGCCGCAAGCTCGAAGATGCACCAAATCCTCTGCTTGTTATTGTTCTTCTTGTTGTTGTTCTTGTTCTTGTTCTTGCTCTTGCTCTTGCTCTGGCTCTGGCTCTGGCTCTGGCTCTGGCTCTGGCTCTGGCTCTGGCTCTTGCTCTTGCTCTTGCTCTTGCTGTTGCTGTTGCTGTTGCTGTTGCTGTTGCTGCTGCTGTTGTTGTCGTCGTCGTCGTTTTTTTCCCACCTAGCACTGCAGGAAAACCCAGACTCCAAGACTACAGACACGGGGGCAAGTCCCGGGCTACATGAACTCTCACGTCGTCCCAACTGCGTCGTCGTCTTACAGTGGGGTTTAAGGTTTTTGGTCCGGGGCATAAGATGCACCTTGTTTTCGGATTTGGTTGATTGATTGGTCTGATGGTCACGGCCTAGGACTACCGTAAGGTTGGCGTGAAGGGTGGAGGGCAGGATGGTTTAGGGGCTCAGGCTCGTGGTTCCGAATTCTCGGTCTGAGGCATGACAAGGGGTTTAAGGCTAAGGTATGCGGCTTCGGGTACTAGGCTTGCACGACGAGGTCCTCGTCAGGTAGGGCTCGCTCCAAAGAACCCGCAGTTCAGCAGTGGACGCCAGGAAGTTGCCGATGTTGTCGATCCCCTCTTGCATGAGCCGCTCGTCGGTCTGGCTGATAGACACGAAGTCCAGGAAGCACCGATCCGAACGGCTGGGCAAGTAAGGAAACGCAAGTAGGCCCAAGATCGCGCCGGCAGTGCAGCAGATCAGGACCCAATAGCCATCTGGAACCTCAGGTTCAGAATCCAAAACCACCCGCGTGCCTCTGAACTGAGGCAAAATGCCTGTCAAACAGAGGGGAAAGGATATAGCTGCACCGATGAGCCATCCGAGTAGAAGAGTCGGCCAGCCGAATCGGATAAGTAACGACAAGGCTTTCAACCGCCCATCTGTTAGCCAGGTATGGGACAGGAACACGTCGAAGGCAGCTGTCGGGCTGGAAGCGTTGTAAAGGCGTGCCCGCTTCTCCAAGCTCAAAGCTGGAGGTCGCGAGCGCCAAAGACTGGCAGCTCGTCGCAAGGACTTCCGCATCGAGATGGCTCGCATCAGCTCTTCACGACTGCTCTGCTGGGTCAGATCCGAGCGATAAACGCAGATCTCTGGGGGCGACAACACGCCTTCCTCTGCCGAAGTACTTTCGGCATCACCGGCATCTTCGCAAGCTCGCATACTACCTACTTCTTCTGTCTGAGCTGCAGCATCAGGCGCATCATCCACCACCCTCATGCTCGCCACAAACTGCTGCTCATGGGGCTCTGGCTCTCCGCATGCGGAACAGCAGTTACTCAAGGCGGGACCGATCTCCGACATGGAGCCAGATGGCCTGCTCGTTGCCTTCGGCTCTTCGCCGCACCAAGCCAGGCTCTTCCCTCCCCCTATATAAAAAAGTGCCGCTTTGAGCCCGAACGATGGCCCGAAGCAATCTCAAACGTGACTCCCCTCAAGCCTACCCGGCCTACCGGGCTGCCCCCCCTCCCAGATCTTCGCAGGGTACACGCACCGAACAAACACAAAGGCCTGCGCTCAAACGCAGCATGCTGAGGCCTCACAGCTCGTGATGACCAGAGTGGCCGTGGCCGCGATGGCCACCGTGGCCGTGTTCGTGAAAATGTCCATGGTCGTGATCCTGGATGAATTAAGGGGCTCATGGGCTGATGACCTTTGGGGTTTCGACTCTCATTCTCGCACAAGGCAAGCCTCCACACTGGGGTTTACGCTCTCACAACTCGGACAAGCCACACTGGGGTTTAGGGTTTCAGGTTTAAGGGTTTATGGGCTGCAATTTGCGGGGCTCAGCGAGCAGACAGAAACTCTCTTCGAACTCCCTTGCCGTAGTGTTCGCCTGTCGTGTTACCGGGGTCATGGATGCTTATGGCTCGGGCTTCAAAGGTAGTAAGTAAAGGCCAGATGGGCATCCTGTCGTTGGCAGCGGCAATCACAGAAACTGTGTCTGTGCCAGCCTCGAAATCAATCTACTGTCTTCTTCACACTTTCACTGCACTTTGTTGCATGTTCCGGAAGTCTCTGCTAGCAACAATCCACGCGCGGCTTATTCAACTTGAGGCCTTGCGATAGTAATCCTTGACTCTCGAAGTAACCCTGGTAACAAACCCTTACCTGAAAGGCCTAACGGGGTGCGTGAGAGACAGAGGCTGCCCCAGGCACCCGCATAAGACTAGTGCTAAGAATTTAACTTAGGTTGCCATACTGTGAAACCAATTTTGTTTACGATAGATCACTATATGGTACCTGACAATAGACTCCCCGACGAGAGCCTGGCGACATCAACTTCGGCTCACTCACAGACAGGATGACACATCCTTACACTTACAGAAAGCTAGACCCTAATTCTGCAATTCTGCTTCCTATAGGTATAGTCCCCTTGGGATCAGGTGAGGGGTGCGAGACTAGATGAGAAAATCGTGGGCCTCGAGATCGCCGATCCGAAGAAGCACGTAGACGGCAAGAACAGCCAGCGCACTGCACAGCCTGAGGTTTGCTCTCTCACAACTCGGACAAACCAGGCGAGGTTCCATAGCTGCGGGTCGGCGTGAAACAAACAGAAGGGCAAGGGTCTCGAGTTTAGGGGCTGTCTGATCTCAGTCTTTGTTGGATTTAGGCAAAGTTGTCTTGCTTCCCGCGTGGCTAGGAGGAACCTACAATGCAGGCATGAAACTTCGGGGCGTCCCGACTTATTCTCCGCATACAGCGCTGTGCCTTTCGGAAAGAATATGGATCAGACACTAGTGACCCCAACAATCCCGACTCCAAGTGAGCAAATACATGAGTTTAAGGGAAAAACTGACAAATTTTCTCAATTCCGGGACAAACAAATCCCAGATTTGGGGAGTCTTGGGCTTGTAGGGCTCAGTATATCACGGCGGCGAACAATCAAATGGAGAATGAAGTGCCATACAACCACTCAGGCGTCCCACAGATACGGAACAAACCCAGGTGTACCACAGAACTGCTGAACTACACAGTTCAACGACAGGCCCTGCGTCACTTCTCTGAGTTCCGGACACTTTTGCCCAGCCACCTGCTCTTCCCTGGTGGCTAGTCTTGATGGATGCCAAGACCTGCACTCGGCTCAGACGCTTTACGAGTGCTTGGTTTACGTGCAGCCAGGGGGGGCTCTGCAGTGGTGGCGGAGAGATGCTTGGTTGGATTTTCTGCTAGAACCAGAAGCGCCGAAGGGTCTTCCTGGCCCGCATCTGCCGCTTGCGAGCCAGTTGCCTTAAGAGGCCCTGATAGGGCGAGCAGTCACCCGACGGATCCAAGAAATCGAACCAGCAAGACACGGCACGCACTCCTTCATGAAGCTCCCTCATCTTCCGCTGATCGTGCTTCAAGGCCCGCAAATGCAAGTAGAGGCTCTCACCGACTTCAAGCATTGGCCACTTCAGAGAAAACGTGTCCCAATCCAGGAAATCCTCGAACGGCAACTCGACATCGTCACTGAGCAGAACTGGCACGCAGCCGGCGTAGAAAGCCTCGAAGAGACGGACAGTCCACCAGCCACGACCACGTGGTACTAGACAAAAGTGCGAGTTGCCCATGAGGAAGCTGTAACGCATAGAGGGGCGGCCAACATCAGCATCGGGCTTGCTCTCAAAATATTTTATGATTCTTGGTCGCACTGTCTCGTTCACCTCGATGTAACCTTCTCGCACGTCTGACCTAATATCCGACTCTGCATGCTCCCCTCGCCAAACCAGCAGAAGGGTTCGCTCGTCTAGCTCCCGGTTGAAGAATCGAAGTCGATAGGCTTCGGGTGCTGGAACGGCTGATGGCAAGACCACATCCAAGCCAAATCGAAAGCAGTCCTCACAACTCCAGGCGGTCCCCGGAAGGATCCTTGCATCGTCCTCTGGGCCCAAGAGAGGACGAGTCTCTACTGCAGCCACCACGTGATCTCGCACGCTTCGATCACTCTCACGGCCCAGCAAGCTCCTCCATCCTTTCATCTTCCACTTCTCGCAGGTGAAGACCAGCAGCACCGGCGGACCCTCCTGTGCCATTAGGTCTCCCATCAACGTTTCCAGGGCAAGGGCCTGGTCGCCCCGCTTTGGGCCCTGCATGTCGTAGCAGGACAAGTAGATGGGCACATAAACGAAATCTGCCTGGGCCGGATCGTCTACGCGACAGCTTGCACGTTGAAAGAATTCGTGGACCCAGACCTCTGTGAAGCAGAGGCCTCGATGCGCACAGCTCAGAGGGGCCTCTCGCAGCACCGATGCCGTCTCACGCTCGTCGACGAAGATGCGTAAGGACCCAACACATGGCAGAAACTTTTCCGGTGGTGACATGAACCAGTCGTAATGCATCCAGGCAGCTCGATTTGTCTGGTACAGCCACCGGCAGTCCCCAGTTTCCTGCAATCTCTCGGCCAGCTCTGAGCCAACATCATAGCCTTCGAGCGCGGCTGTGGGGGAGGTTGCGTCAAGCTGAGGAAGAACAGAGAGAACCAAAGCAGCTGCGCCGGCGGCACAAGACTCGGCCAATGTCAAGACACGCTCACGGATGCTCACTGTTGAGTTGGAGCAACATGCTGTCCAGAGTTTTGAAGGCTCTCCGTCGGGAGGCCAGGGCTGTAAACGCATGAACTTCGACATGGATGCACCCTCGAAGAAAGCTTTCCACTGCCTACCCGAGATACCATTGCCTCCTGTATCACAGCCAGAAGCGTTGGCGTGAGATGACTTCGTGCAGTCCTCGCCGCCAGAGCTGATGAGCTGAATGATCGCAGGCAAGACCGAAACATCTCCAGTGGACCCCCGGGCCATGAGATCCTCGAAGTCTGCCACTGGCGAGTATCCACTGACTCCAGGTAAGCAGCAGGTTTGAAAGGTGTGCATCCCATCCCAGCATTCTTTGTTGCCCTCAGGCCCATACTTCTTATCGCAGCACATTTCATAGGAGAAGCCTTCTTGCCAGCAGGTCGGGTTGCCTTCCGCTACTGCCTCCACAGAAAAGCTGAGAAATAGTAGGAAGCAAAGGATCTTAGCTGGGAGCCATGCGAGGAGGCACCTGCCACCCATTACTTCGTCTTCAACTCGTAACCGCAATAACTAACCCGACGACCCTTCTCAGAATGGTAACCCCCTAGGCCTAATTGTATTGAGTGGTGCACGCTATCGCAGGCTGGCGCATCATTGCTCGGCCTTTGTCGATGACATCATGGTAGATCCCAGTTAGCCGCAACTAGCCACCAGAACTCTGATGCTCGCAGCCAAGAATCAGAAAAGGCCTCAGGGCCCTCAATTGCGAAAATGGCTCTTTTAACATTCACGCTGTGATTCTGCAGCTGGTGACGATGATGATGGTGCAGGTGCTGGGGATAGTGTTGCCGCGAGTGCTGTAACGGCTGTGTTCGCTGGATGAAGTCACAATTGTCACATCTCCTCATGTTGATTCAAGCCCGTCCCTTCAAGATCGGTTCAACAATGTTTAGAGTCGTCGTTCCTGGGTTCTTACGTGGTTTGCAGCCTTGTTTATTGATGGGTTTTGACGCCGTGTACGAACGGTCTGAGGCTGTTCGAGATCAAGGGATGTGTGTGGTTAAGGCAGGAGGTCCTTGCGAAGAGAGGATTTATCGAAGGCTTTCGCTACCGTACTCCACCCAAAAGAAAAAATCAAACTCTGGAGCCCCTGTGTTGTCCGGTGCCTCAACGAAACAACGTAACGGTTTGCTGCTGCTGAAACCACATGATAAGCCCCGCCTGTTGTGCTGACCCCTTCATACGAGCAGCTGGTGTCTAACATTGTCTAACCAATGGTTCGCAGCCTTCAGAATCTCGACTCCCATTAAATGCGCGTCTACGGTGCCTCTTATGCCGTGTTTTGCCAGAGTCTTGACATTGTGTCGTGGGCTCACTGTGAGACTGATTCCGGCTATCTTGTGCTCTCGCATGATTAATCCTAATTTGCCTGCCCTGTTACTTGAGAGATGCCTGTTTTCAGGCTGACTTGTTTCTGGTTCGTGCCTGGGGAAAGATCATGTTCAGGGCCAGGGAGAGGAAAGTGCCAGCGGTGAATGCCGTCCTTAGGTCTCACACGAGAAAGCCACCGAGCCTGGACTAATCTGACAGTGGTATGGGGAGAGCTGAAAACTGCTCCTATCAGCATGATACCTACATGGACGTTCACAGAAGTACGCAGGCTCAGGATGTAAACGTTTAGCGACAACCTCCAGAACCATAGGGGTTCGAAGCAGAAGGTGACTCCAGTCGGCCAAAATCGAACATGCAGCTGCCACGTAAGTCCAGGGCATGTATCTCTGGACGGAGGCGGCCAAGTCGGTCTCTCCTTGGTGGTCCAGGAGAGACAGGAGCTCGCGAATCTCTTCTTGACGAATGCTGGCGAGAGGGGGGCTCTGCACCTTTGTATCCAGTCCGAACAAATCCCTTCGATTCGTACGTGCGAGATTTTGTTTTGTGATCAGCAGGCTCGAGATGCACATCAGGAAGAGAATCTCTATCAAAACTACCGATGGGAAGTAAAAAGAAGGTGCTAGAAGAGCGTCGCGGTCAATCGAACTATCTCTGAACCCTGAACCCTTGTAGCGATCAATTTTTTTTTGGTGCAGACCGAGGCCTGGGCCTAGCCAATGCACCAGCCCTACCTGGAGCTGCAAGGAGTGAGTACAAGCAAGAGCCGGGGACCGCATCATGGCAATGAAACAAGGGAGATTATGATCATTACAGCAGCAGCAGCAGCAGCGAAAGTAGCAGGAGCAAAACGCAGGAACAGCATCGGCAGCGGTTTTTGTCACCCACTTGGCACGACTGCGTCAGCAGCGGTAGTAGCAGCAGCAGCAGCAGCAGCAGCTGAGCACTCAGTGTTGGCACACACTCGGTCTTGCAGTCGTAGCTTAAACTCTGAGAGAGAGAGAGAGAGAGAGAGAGAGAGAGAGAGACAGACAGAGATAGTAGTAGTAGTAGTAGTCGTCGTCGTCGTCGTCGTCGTTGTCGTCGTCGTCGTGGCAATAGTAATGGTAGTGATAGTGGTGGTGGTAGTGGTAGTGGTAGCAGGAGTAGTAGGTCCTCCATGATTCGTCTGAGACCCTAACGCCACCGGCACAGGTTAAAGAGGCCAGGAAGTTCCAACACCTCGACAGTTTCGAAGCGGAACCGATTGCGCAATGGTTTGCGACAAATCAAGAAGTTTTAACGTGATGTGCTTGGAGTGCTTGGAAGCTGGCTGTCCTAATCTGCTCTGCTGGGAATGGGATGTAGTGCTTGAAACCTTCAGTCGCTCCCTGTTTCCGTCTGCCAGAAGGGTGAAGATACTCTTTGTGTAAGCGGTTCTGGTCTTCTGAGGAAGGGAATCCCCTTGATCTGCGTTGCGCCCAGGTCTCAGGAGTAGCATGCCGGGAACTGCGGTGCAGCTTTAGCCGAGACTTGCACCACAGGCACATTCACTGAAATCAAGCCGAAGGCGTCTGAGTAGGCACAGCTAGCAAGAAAAAACTCACAAGATGTTCATGATCGCTGTGCAATCACTGCCAACCTTCTTGGCATCGTCTCCTGAACCGAAGCCACTACGCGTAACCACAAATTCCGGGTGCTACTTGGGTTGCCGGATGTCAAGGTCGAGCGGCAGAAGTTGGCCGGTAGGGAAGCCAGCTGACCGCAATACCATGAAGTCTCCAATCTCCTCACGGTGCCAAAGGGTCTCTAAGTTGTGGAGATGCGATGCTCTGGATCAGATTGAAAGTCGGTATCAGTGCGTAATCGTTGCAAGGCCTGCTTGAAGGCTTCCGAGTCGGTGTTTTTGGGTTTCGAGTGTCACAGCTAAGGCGATTGAGATCGTTGCAGGGTAAAGCAACCCTACTGAGCAGCAGAGATATGGTACAGGGTCTGCACAGCATCGTGACTACTGCAGTCGCTCATAGAAAGACCGCACTCACTTCCTTGCAATGCATTCACACTCAATGCACAAAAATCATTGACATGCTGCATGCTACATCCTCCAACTGTTGCTCTCTCACTTTTGCTGGGCGTGCTCACAGCACACGCTCACGCTGTCTCCATTCCCAGTGCAGCATTTTTTCTGCACCTGTCGACATGCTCGAGGGCTACTTTGCCCATCCAACGTCCAAGGGAAGCCCGATCGGGCTGTGCAACCTTGGACATGTCTTGCGAGAATTAAAGCCAGACGGGCTGCTCCAATGCCGCAGATTCGTGGCACAGAATCAAGCTCGGTGTGGCGAGCCCGAACAGACTCAAGCGGTGCATCGAATTCCTGAATCCTAAACCCTAAGGTTTTGGGCTTGGGGTTTTGGGGGTTGCCCTCTGGCTTCGTCTGTCAGACGTCTGGTTTTTTCTTCCGAAGTGTTGTTCAGATACAAAATACTTACTTTCTTTAACTGCCGTGACTACTGTATAATGGTCAACATCAGGGTTTCTAGAAGGGCTATGATTACGGTCAGGGTTACTATAAGGCCTAGACTGTAATGGTAGCCTACAGTGAAGCGTGTCTACTTCAACGCCTCGTCGGGTTGGAACCACATTTGCAGCTGCAGGGCATCGCCGCATCCCCCGAAGCCATCAGCCTGCATCTTCGGGCGGTCGAAAGTGTAGAGGCCGCAGAGACCTGGGCCAGAGGCATAAACCGTAGTCTCGGCTGAGCTCTTTCCTTTCCAGCTATCAGAGGCGTTCTTGATATTGAAAACCGTGAAGCGATGCATCCAGTCCTTCCAGTATCCCACGTCCAGTCCGCAAACCTTCCCCTGGAAGTACTTCTCTGGCATCTCTTCTCCGCCGGTGCCGCGCTCCGGCAGGGGGACAAAGCCTCGACCGACGAAGTTCAGCTGGTCGATCTGATCCCCACGGCGCCAGGCGATCGAGTGAATAGGGCCGTGATCCCTGCTTTTTATGCTTGCATAGACCCATTTCTCTCGACCGTGGTGTTTCAAGTCCATCTGGTTGTTGCCAGTAAGCCATCCAGACAACGTTGGCAGCTGAAGGAACACCGGCAGTGGATCAGGTATCAATTTGCTGGTCTCTTCTCCAGGGAGCAAACGACGGATGTAAGGGTCAGTTGATATCATCGGGACGAACTCTTCGATGAACATTTGCTGCATGTGGCGTTCCTTAACCTGCTCCTTAAACCTGTCCGTGAGTATACCAAAGGGCCAGTCATCACTCTTTGCCTTCTTTGTCTTCCATGTCTGCTCGAAGCCTGTGAGCTTGTCAATCAACGTTACAGAAGCCTGGGTGTAGTAGGTGACGTGATCAAAATCATCGGAGCGATGTCTCCACTGCTTGATTTCGAGTTGGTCCTTTCGCCACTTCTTCCAGTCATCCATGATGCTTTGGGCTGTCACATCGAGAAACTTCATCTGATCCTTCATGGCTTCCAAGACATCCTCGGAGACATTCTTGGACTCGGGTTCGAACGCCTCCTTCTCGAGGCGGACGTTGTAGAGCTGCCGCCACAGGGTCATCAGAGACCAAGCGCTGGCCTGAAACTCCGGAGCCATCTCCTGTTTGTACCCGGTGGTCGCGATCTTGTTTACGATTGCCCTTGCAGCAGTCTTGGCCGCTGTATGCTTGCCGAGGCATTCGAAAAACACGCTTTCTGGAAATGGGACCGGCGCATGTGTCGTCGGCTCTGACCTGCGATGACGCGAAACCGTGGGAAGGTGCCCTGGCAAGTCCTCCTCCGCATCCTCCAGATAATATGGGGGGTCCTCCAGATGATATGGATCCTCCACCTCGTGCCTCTGCTTCTTAGCCTTTTCGATCTCCTCCTTCAAGCTGGCCATGCACTTGTTCAGCTCACCTGTTGCGTCCTCAAGATCACACATCTTCCCGGCGATGTCATCTTTGAGCTCTGCGGCGATGGTGCGCTGCACATACTGTTCGGTCCACTCCATCATGAGCTTCATGACGGAATACTCCTTCCACAACTGGCCCTGCTATTCTGGGTTGGT